TTTGCGGGTCCGAGACGGGGGGGGGGGGGGGGCAGCAGAAGTAGGAGAGGCAGCTGCCAGTCACAGAGCAGGAGGGCAGCAGAAGCAGCTGCCAGTCACAGAGCAGGAGGGCAGCAGAAGCAACTGCCAGTCACAGAGCAGCAGGGCAGCAGAAGCAGCTGCCAGTCACAGAGCAGGAGGGCAGCAGAAGCAACTGCCAGTCACAGAGCAGCAGGGCAGCAGAAGCAGCTGCCAGTCACAGAGCAGGAGGGCAGCAGAAGCAACTGCCAGTCACAGAGCAGGAGAGCAGCAGAAGCAGCTGCCAGTCACAGAGCAGGAGAGCAGCAGAAGCAACTGCCAGTCACAGAGCAGGAGGACAGCAGAAGCAGCTGCCAGTCACAGAGCAGGAGAGCAGCAGAAGCAGCTGCCAGTCACAGAGCAGGAGAGCAGCAGAAGCAGCTGCCAGTCACAGAGCAGGAGGGCAGCAGAAGCAGCTGCTAGACACAGAGCAGCAGGGCAGCAGAAGGAGCACACTAAGACTCCCTGGACTTGGGAGTACACCCGAGTGAATACAGGTTCCAATCCTTCTCAAGTCTCCTACTTGAGGAGACTTGAGGATGATTCAAGTCTCTCAGCAAGACGCCACCCACCCACCTGCCTGAGAGAGGCTTGTGGTCAAGGCTCACCGGAAGATTGACACTCCTTCAAGGCTCACAGATTCTCCTTCTGTTTCCTTTTTTTTTGTTTACGACTTTAACAGGAATTCCATATTTTTTTTTGTAAGTAAAAATAATTACTGAAAGACGTTCGGTACAGTAATTTTCTATATTGGTGAACGTCTCTCTTCAGCCTACTGCAGTTTCCCCTGGAAATATGATCTAGAAAAACTGGCTTTTAGAACTATAAGTCCCCAATTATTGTATTGCTGAGTGAACAGTGTTGGAGAGGAGCAGTGCTCGGTCGATCCTCTCACACTAGAGCAGCAACCTTGGAACATATACATACTAGAGAGAGAGAGAGTACAAGTGGGTGATAAATCACCACCCAAGGATCAATAATCTAGCCCCCCCCCCTACACGATGCGACATGGCAAGGCTTAGCAAGTACTGCAGCCCTGTTCTGTTGGACCATACTAGGCAGCTCCTGTTTAAACCCACTCCCTTCTGTTGGACCATACTAGGCAGCTCCTGTTTAAACCCACCCCCTTCTGTTGGACCATACTAGGCAGCTCCTGTTTAAACCCACCCCCTTCTGTTGGACCATACTAAGCCGGTCCTCCTCGCATATTATGCAAATAACAAAATACCTCATAATAGTGATAATATTAGTTGTGTAGATGTATTTGTAAGAGTATGCATTAGCCCGGTTGTATTAGTTGTATACAACTATATATATATATATATATATATATATATATATATATATATATATATATATATATATATATATATAACTGAAAACTCACACCCCAGAAGTGACTCGAACCCATACTCCCAGAAGCAACGCAACTGGTATGTACAAGACGCCTTAATCCACTTGACATACTTGTCTTGTACATACCAGTTGCGTTGCTTCTGGGAGTATGGGTTCGAGTTCGAGTTCACTTCTGGGGTGTGAGTTTTCAGTTGCATATTGTCCTGGGGACCATTCAGGCTTGTTCGCATATATATATATATATATATATATATATATATATATATATATATATATATATATATATATATATATATATATATATATATATATATATTAAATAAAGCCAAGAATACGTTCAAGGTTAGACAAGGTTTACAGGGCACTACGACGCTCAGTAAAGATATCTTTATTTCTCTTTTTATTCCACTAAACTATACCCGATATAATTTATTATTTGAAAGCTGCGCAAAATATTGTGAACTTGTAATTTCTTTAATTATAATCATATAAAAACTAAAGAGCAGACGGCCTGTTGGCCAGTACGAGGCAGCTCCTATTTATCTCCACCCAAAGTCATTCATATACATGTCTAACCTACGCTTGAAACAATCCAGCCAGCCTACGTCTATTATGTTACTCCTGGTAATCTATCCCATAATTCAACAAATCTCTCTTCCCAGTAAGTCGAGAGTTGTACAATATATATAACTATATGTACTTGCACTTACGGGCTATTCATGCCCGTGCCACCTCTTGGAAGGGTTTAATCTTCATCAGTTAATCTGTACTTACAATGTTGCTCCTGTTGTACATATTGCTACCTATTGTGAGAGTAGTTTTTATGTTGTTAGTTCTGTCAATCATTCGACCACCTCCTTCAGGTGAGTCAGTTTCCTTACGTTCTTCCAGCTCCTGCAGGTAAGTCAGTTTGCTTACCTTCCTGCACCACCTTCAAGGTAAGCCAGCTCTCCCTTCCCCGCTCCCCCTCGCACCGTCAGGTTGCTCCTCCAGTGCGCGGCGTCGCTCCTACAGTTCCGGTCACTGGTTATGGTCCACGGCACACGGCTGTTGACTTCCGTTTTCCGGCCGCTGCTCCGCGCGGGGCCCTCCGCGAGTTCCGGTCAGCGGCCGGCTTTACGGGGCCCTCGCCACACGCACACACACACGCACACACACACGCATGCACACACACGCACACACACACGCATGCACACACACACGCACGCACACACACACCAGCCCTCAGAGGGCTGGTAGATCTAACTGGTGTTCACACCTGGCTTCGGTTCACGCTGTGCTGCTCACGTTCATTCTCAGGCTATGGTCCAGCCTTTCCTGATAAACAAACGAATATTAATATCACAATAACGTGATGTGTCTTTGATGTAATGGAAGGAACAGGACGTTGGGCTCGAAGTGGCGTCCTGGGTCACGGTAATGTCCGTCTATCCAGCCACCAAATACACTGTTTATAAATGAAAAACAACTGGACTCACAGTCGATTACCTACGAATTTTTCATGAGCAATGTTTTGCTCTTTTCTTGCATGCATTCGAATTGCACTTCAATGTTTTTTTTTTTAAATGTTGAAAACTGAATTACTGACCAATACAAGTGAACAACCTAACCTAATCTAGGCCTAACTGTACACCAAATTATAGCATTAATACATAATCAAAACGATATATTCTTGAATTTACACATGACTTTAAAATATAAGAATGCGTCAACAGGGCTGGAAACAGCTTGGGCGAGCACACCTTGGGGACAGCTCGTTCAGGCTAAGGCCTTATCCAAAGATCCTTTCATAAAATTGAACTCAGTAATAAAAAATTGTCATACACAAGGGAACTATCAGGAAAAAGGGCCGAGCATCACGACTATATAGCACTTGAAAAGGGTCAGGATAATGCTTTGGGATGGGACGGGGAAGGTTGGGGGGGGGGGGGAAGGAATGGTTATCTTGAGATGATTTTTTGATTTCGGGGCTTTTAGTGTCCCCGCGGCCCGGTCCTCGACCAGGCCTCCACCCCCAGGAAGCAGCCCGTGACAGCTGACTAACACCCAGGTACCTATTTTACTGCTAGGTAACAGGGGCATAGGGTGAAAGAAACTCTGCCCATTGTTTCTCGCCGGCGCCCGGGATCGAACCCGGGACCACAGGATCACAAGTCTTGCGTGCTGTCCGCTCGGCCGACCGGCTCCCCAACCACATGGTGCCCAACCACGTGGACGAATTTACGAACTAATGATAATTATGTCCGAAGGGAATTACCAACCCAGCAATTAGCATATAGCTCCTTTCTTAGGCATTCAATCACTATCCTTGCAAGAAATGTCAACATGATTTAAATAAATTATAACCAGTAGCTTTACACAAATAAATCATTTTAACGTGATATGTATACATGAAAAAATAAATTGGAGCAATTAGGTGACTCGACCAATGAGGTGACTCGAATCCAAGCCGAGTCAATGATCCCATTGTTCAACCCGTCCTCGACTCAAGTCCATTACATCCAGCGGTCGACCCCACAGACGCATTCATAAATTTTAACATGTTGTTCATTCAAAACGGGAATTTTCTCAAATATAAATTAATATTATAATATATTAGCATATTGTGCATATATAGGCATAGGTTAGGTTAGGTGTTTAGGTTCTGTTGGCGATTATTTGTATTTGTAGTACGTGGGTGAAGCATTTACAGCGTTGTGGTTCGAACAAAATTCGTCAGTGAAGCACTTGTTCCGGATATGTTCGAACGTGAGCAGTTGTGAGTCGTGTGTAAACCGCTTTTCATTCATAAACAGTGGGTTTGGCGGGTGCATGGAATCACTTTTGGGTCTTTGTTTGGAGGACGGGCTTTATGGTTCCAGTAAGATGCGCAGCTGGGAGTCCCTTTGTTCACCGGTTCGAGTCCTCCTCATTGCTCCAATTGATTTACTCACTAATACGTTTATTGGTATACTGGAAAATATATTTGTGAATATAATTGCTCGACGGACAGAATATAATTGGCTGGATACAACAATTTGGACTGGTCGGCAGAGCAAGGACCTTGATTCACGAAGAATCGCCGTTCGAACCCCGATGGTTCAAGTGGTTGGTCACCTTTCCTTCACCACGTCTTCATACCCCAGCTCCTGATCCCCGTATTCAAGTGTTATGTGTAGGCGTACCAGCCCCGATATGTATATATACATATAATTTTTTATTTCGGGGCTTCAGTGTCCCCGCGGCCCGGTCCTCGACCAGGCCTCCACGCCCAGGAAGCAGCCCGTGACACTCATATACGATATACAAATTGACATCAATTAATACAATCTTATGTAAGTCTCAAATAAATTTTATAATATACGTTTTTTTGTTTCTTAATATGTCACATAACCCTAATTGAAAACTGCCAGTTATTAAATTGGTCTCAAAGGCGAATTATTATTTTTATTTACTCTTGTACACCTGTTCATTCCAGGCAGAACTGTGGCGATTTGTACACAAAATTTAGGAATAAAACCCTTGGAGTCTGATTGGATATATGGCCCATGGTAGCCTTGCTTGAGTTGTGGTCAACAGCTATAGTTTAAGTCACTGCAACTGGTCCTATGGTTCCAGTCACTGGTTCCATGGTTCCAGTCACTGGTTCCATGGTTCCAGTCACTGGTTCCATGGTTCCAGTCACTGGTTCCATGGTTCCAGTCACTGGTTCCATGGTTCCAGTCACTGGTTCCATGGTTCCAGTCACTGGTTCCATGGTTCCAGTCACTGGTTCCATGGTTCCAGTCACTGGTTCCATGGTTCCAGTCACTGGTTCCATGGTTCCAGTCACTGGTTCCATGGTTCCAGTCACTGGTCCTATGGTTCCAGTCACTGGTTCCATGGTTCCAGTCACTGGTTCCATGGTTCCAGTCACTGGTCCTATGGTTCCAGTCACTGGTCCTATGGTTCCAGTCACTGGTCCTATGGTTCCAGTCACTGGTCCTATGGTTCCAGTCACTGGTCCTCCGGTTCCAGTCACTGGTCCTCCGGTTCCAGTCACTGGTCCTATGGTTCCAGTCACTGGTCCTCCGGTTCCAGTCACTGGTCCTATGGTTCCAGTCACTGGTTCCATGGTTCCAGTCACTGGTCCTATGGTTCCAGTCACTGGTCCTATGGTTCCAGTCACAGGTCTTCCTGTTCCATACACTAATCGAGTAGTTCCAGTCACCTCCAGTCACTAGCTTCGATTCACGCCACCAGTGCTATCGTTGAAGTCACCAGACACGCCCGCAGGTAACAGTCACGTTACTGGCAGGCACTTGGTAACGCCGGAGCGCTGGGTGACGGAGCGGGGATCCTCAGTTCCGGTCAGTGGCTACGGGGGTGACTGGTCCCGGTCAGTGAGCAACAGGTGACGCCTCGCAGACCTCCGTCATTACGACGGCCCGGGGAGGGCAGTACACACAGGCCGTCGCCGCCGCCGCTCATGTCTCCTGCCGCAGCTACAACGACGCCGCCGCCGCCTGCCGCTGGCAGCGGTCTACGTGTTAAAACTGTACCGCGTAACGGTGTTGAGACGGCGCTGTTGAGGTGGTTCTCTTGGGCTTAGGTCAGGCTCCTAGATCAGGTCAGGTCAGGTTCCTAGATCAGGTCAGGTCAGGCTCCTAGATCAGGTCAGGTTCCTATATCAGGTCAGGTCAGGTTCCTATATCAGGTCAGGTCAGGTTCCTATATCAGGTCAGGTCAGGTTCCTATATCAGGTCAGGTCAGGTTCCTATATCAGGCAAGGTTAAGCTTTTTAAGCTGCTGGAAGCCATTGCAGTTCTATATAAACAGCGGTTTGATAGTCATCTCATTTCCATTGATACATTTCTGAATTACCATTTAATAATGACTTCTTCAACCCAACCACTTGGATTGGTTGTTACAGCGACGGCTGCACTTCTTGCAGGTCGGTGTTCGATTCCCGACAGTCCAGTGCTTGGGCACCAACCCTTCCTACGTCCTCCAGGATGCTTGCATGAATAGGTAATCACTTCCAAGACCTATTCAGTGCCTTCACCTCATAATGACCATACAGCAAAGGTTTGGAGTCAATGTTGAGGAATATTATTATCAATGTGTCACTCAGATCAATGACCATATGTTTCTCTACCTCGGTGAGGCGTCTCTTGTCTGTGTGGTAGAGTCTCTTGTCTGTGAAGTAGAGTCTGTTGTCTGTGAGGTAGAGTCTGTTGTCTGTGGGGTAGAGTCTCTTGTCTGTGAGGTAGAGTCTGTTGTCTGTGAGGTAGTCTCTCTTGTCTGTGAGGTAGAGTCTCTTGTCTGTGAGGTAGTCTCTCTTGTCTTGTGAGGTAGTCTCTCTTGTCTGTGAGGTAGTCTCTCTTGTCTGTGAGGTAGAGTCTCTTGTCTGTGAGGTAGTCTCTCTTGTCTTGTGAGGTAGAGTCTCTTGTCTGTGAGGTAGACAAGAGACAGTCTCTTACCTCTGCCTCTCTTGTTCCCTCTGATGGTGTCAAGGTCTCTGTCGTGTTTGGGGTCTGGGTTCGCTGAGAGGAATAATTTGTGAGAGGGGGGAATAATGAGAGAATGAAAGGAGAAGCAAGTGAAAGGGTGTGCATGGGGGGGGGGGGGGGTTAGAGAGGCCTTGGAGAGTAGGCAAGATGGGATTTGTACTTTTTTTTGTATTTCAAAAGTACAATTTGTCCTCTTCCACCTGCTCTTGCCCCTCCTCGTCTTTCCCTCTCCATGGCTCCTCCCCCAACACACAAGGGCCCCACCCCTCCTACCCCCCCCCACACCCCTCCAGGCCAAGTTCCAGGCCAATCACCCCTCCTTCCCCCCCCCTCTCCACAACCGCACCCCCCCCCCACACACACGTGAACTATGGCGTCTGGCTGCCCTCAGGGGGGCGTCGCTCCAACCATTACCTCAGCCCAGTGTAGGCACCTCAGCTACCGCCGCAGGGGACGCGAACCCCTCCCTCTCCCCTGTCCACAACCCCCCACCCCATCACCACAACCCCCCCCCCCACCGCAACTCCCCCTTCCCACTCCGTCACCAAACCGTCTCACCTTCCCCCACCTCCTTCACTCACGTCTCCTCCCTTCCCCTTTCCCCTTCCCTACCTACCCCTCCCCCACCTTCCCCCCCAACCCCTCATTTACCTCAGTTCCCTCTGATATTCTTGTTCTTCTTTCGTTGCTTATTTTCCATCTTTAGTTGTCTATTGCTTTTTTTCCAGTTCTTTCGTTCCAAACCCTCTTTCTAAATTTGTTTACAAATACGTAACCGTCTCTAGTTGATTGGTGTTTAGTGTGTTCCCTTTCTCTCGATTTTCTCCTCTGTTCTTTTTATTCTCCTCTGCTACTTTCCTCCTCTTTCTCTCTTCTGCTACGCCTTTTCATCATTTTGCTTCTTTCCTCCTTCTGGAATCTGCATTTTGCCTCTTAGGTCATCATATTTGTCTTTTTCTGTCATTCGAGCCTTCCACATCCAGTACTCTGAGGCGCCCTGAGAGTACCGTGACGTCCTCAGAGTACCGTGACGTCCCCAGAGTACCGTGACGTCCTCAGAGTACCGTGACGTCCCCAGAGTACCGTGACGTCCTCAAAGTACTGTGTCGTCCTCAGAGAGTACCGTGACGTCCTCAGAGTACCGTGCCCCCCCCCCACGTCTCCCCTCCCCCCCCCACACACTTTCTTGTCTAAGGTCAACAATCGTTCCATATCAAACTACCTTACTAGCTGCTCCTAATATAAACTCCTTTGCTCTACAACTTTGATCCACACATCAACACTCGGACTATTCACTGTAATACTCTACAGAAAAAAAATCACTTATGCCTAAAATCTGACTAATTTGTATACATAACTAATGAGCTGTTTGGGGATGTGACATTTAAATGAAGACGTTTTATTCAAGTTAATGGGAGCAAATAGTCTGTAATACTGGCATGGCTCTCCATCATCCCATATACGATATAAGCCTATATGGTTTGAGCACGGATTTATTAATGTATGGAGAAAAATTGCCAGGTTATCGTAATAAACGTGAGGTCGCTGGATTGTTTCAAGCGTAGGTTATATATTATATATACATATATATATATTATATATACATATATATATATATATATATATATATATATATATATATATATATATATATATATATATATATATATTATATATATGTATGTGAGAAAGCTGTATGAACGCGCAAGCCATAGATCACTAAGAACTCTTTGACCCAGCTAGGATTCAAACCCATGCCGTCCAGGATCACCCCTAAACGTACACAGTACCGTGACCACCGCACCAATGGTCGTCTAAGACGATCGACTTAAGAAGCTTGTTGTTTGCTAAGCTTGTAGCGGCGAACTCTCACCTGATCTGGCCAAGATAAACAAAAATATCCAAATTCTCCAAACTTCCGCCTATAACCATCTAATTTATTTATTTATTAATTTATACTAAATCCAAATAATGAAAGGTATTTATATAACTGCCATTACTATTTTATTGTCATGTTTAATTCGAAGATAATTATGCAGAATGTGTGAGGAATTTGACTCGTAGTATACACGACACCGCTTATCAGTCTTCAGATGTTTCTAATCCCAGTATGATCTGCGTCGCTCCGCCATGTTGGATGAATCCAGGTATTCAAAGAATCGCAAAATTCTGTACAGACTTCCTATAACCTCCTAATGTAGTTGCCATTTACAATAGCTTGTTGCAAGGAAACGATTATTGCAATACCCTGATTAATTCAAGGAACACTAGCAACGCTTTGGGAGAGGATTCTGGATTGGATCCGGGATTGGCGTTTAGAGTGTTCATGTAAAGGGTACGAGTTATATCATGCACGAGACGGTGATTGGTGATTGATAAAGATTAAGCCACCCAAGAGGTGGCACGGGCATGAATAGCCCGTAACGAGACTGTGGTTGTTGTTGTTGTTGTTTTAGATTTAGCTAGTCAGAACGAAGTGTCTATGTAGCACGGGCTATGGTGAGCCCGTAACTTACCTGGCACAGGAGCGGGGCCAGTAGCACGGGCTATGGTGAGCCCGTAACTTACCTGGCACAGGAGCGGGGAACGTAACCTAACCTATCCCAAACCCACCTAACCCAACCGAGCCTAACCCAGCCTCACCTGAGCTAACAGAGCCTAACCTGACAGGCAACTGTTGCTGGTTTACTTCTACGAATTATTCAGTAGTTCGATTACGGGCTCACCATAGCCCGTGCTACATGAACACTTCGTCCTGAGTAGCTAACTCTGAAACAACAACAACAAAGTAGTTCGACCTTGAAGGGGGGGCCCTCGATTCAACCCTAAAGAATACATACACAGGCATCCTGTCCCCCGACAACACAAATTATCATTCAGCTGCACCTGTAGCGGATTATTAGGCGCGTGCAGATTCCACCAACTTACAGTTAACTCATTAAAGCTCAAGTTAACATGTTAACTGGCCTGGTGTGTGTGCACAGCGCTAAATAACGCGTTTCGCTGTAGCTGTCAACATCATCGGAGGCAGAGGGGAAGTGGAAACAAATTTGCTGATTTCACATCATGTAATTGAAATAAGTTTATTGAGGTAAAATACACACAAAGGGATGAGGTAGCTCAAGCTATTCTCACCCCGTTTCACATCATGTGAGTCAGGTGGGATGGGGGGCAGTAGATGTGGGAAGTTCTTTCCTGGTCTCGTCAAGTCGAATATGTAAAGCGCAAGTTGGCTGGTCATAGTTAGATGGGTGTTTGAGTTGTAGTGCTTCGGCTATGTCTAATCTTCTATTGTCGCGGTGTCTGTCGATTATGTCAGGAGGCGTCAGGAGGCATCAGGAGGCGTCAAAAGGCGTCAGGAGGCGTCAGGAGGCGTCAAAAGGCGTCAGGAGGCGTCAAAAGGCGTCAGAAGGCGTCAAAAGGCGTCAGGAGGCGTCAGGAGGCGTCAAAAGGCGTCAGGAGGCGTCAGGAGGCGTCAAAAGGCGTCAGGAGGCGTCAGGAGGCATCAAGAGGCGTCAGGAGGACATACAAGGAGTCATGAGGACTAGAAGCGCATGACATTGACTGGCCCTGACCCCTGCCCCCCTGCTGCCATAACCCACCAGCCCCCCCTCACCCCCCGCCCATTAGCCCCCCTCCCCCCCTACCCCCTGCCCTCATGACAATCTGCAGGTCCCTCACTTGGCTAAACACTTCCTGTGGTAAGGCTCAGGGGACCTCGCTGACCCTCC